TATCGCAGTGATAGTTACTGGTCAGAATGAGTCTGGAGATGCAGGAGATTGATTTGATTTGTACGGCGATTTATTAAAAGAAGAAGGGATACTTTATTGAAAAATACGAATGTATAAATAGACTTGGACACATGCGAAATATAATATTAATAATAGTGTATAGCATACCTGATTTTTACGTGCGATTTGTTTGGAGAATGCTGCTATTATGTAGCCCAATTATTTTATGACTATTCACTCAAAAGGATCTTTTCAAATAAACCTGGAATCATTCTTTCATTTTTCAGTATAGATGGGGATTTGATAAACAAACCTCGGAGCACAAGCAATCTCTCAATGCAACGCAAAGTCTAATAGGAATTTTGCAGGAAAAGTAAGTTCATCATAATTTTAAAGGATCAAATTTGTTGGTTTCCTATGATCTTTTTGTAACGAGCTGGAGTGACTAGACGAAAGACGTAAAAGGTTGGAAACAGAATGATGCTTTAATCTTCGAACAATATGGGTACCTTGGCTAAATTCGGAGCACGAATGCGATTATCACAGTTCACGACAGAACTATAAACAGTCATAAGACTGAGTGACACAGGTCACACAGTATGAGCAGGACTAATGTTGGGTATCAGTTTTGCGTGCTCTCAATTAACTGTCGGCGCACATAAAATTGGTTGAAATTTTATCCTTAAAACGAAAATTTTGGGGCGTTTTAATAACTGCGGTGCAAAGTAGAAGAGATATTTGATTGTTGCGTAACTGTACAAACTATTTAGGGGTAGACAAACAGTTAGAAAGGGGAATGTCTATAAAGAGCCGATGAGCATATAAAGATGATGATGATCGTCGTACAGCGAAGTACGATGAAACAAACTTCACTGATCGCTGTCGAACTCGTATTGCATACCACGTTAGTCGTAATATGTAGGGTGGACAGGGATTGGACCTATTTTAAGGGAGGGGAAAGAAAGTGAACCTCTATGGTCAACACGATCTAACTGTACATACTATTTCAAGCATTTTGGCGTAATAAATGACAACAAGAACGCCACTGCCGTCGGTTCGATGCTATATCTTGTCACCCCGTTTGCTGTTCACCACACAAAATGTGTGTAATAAAAAAGACGAATATTGGCAGTCGTCCAATCGATTAGTGACGTTTTGGCTCTATTATTCAGTACAATGCCTACTCCATGCTGACCTACTGAATGGGCTTCGTTGTCACCCGATGTGCGACCGAAGCACCTCTAAGACAAATCTGGTGCACTTAGTGGCTTGTGGTACTGGGATCCTGAATTTGCGTCTCCGATACGCAGCAGACATCAATTCCGAAAGAGTCTGTTGTGTGCACCATCAAAGCTTACTAAGCCACCTGCATCAGATTGTTCATGTTGAAGGCACTGGATTTAGTGATTGACAAGGTTTCGGAATCTGCGGCCTATTTCTTAGCAAGCTGCTTACAGCGATATCCAAGTTACCTGAGGGATTGTTAATAGTCGGAGGAAGGGGTCAAAGAGAGAGGGCTGGGTAGGGAAGACGAAGATTTAGGGAAAGTTTGAGATATCTGAGCAGTAGCCTACTTATCACTGTCCTCTCCGCTCAATGCAGTGCGGTCTTGATTATTCTGAAATTATCTTTAGTTTGTGTATGCAGTCGATTAGGGTTCTCAGCCAAAACCTTTAATTCTGACAAAAACCCAACCGCAAGGCAGCGAGTGAAGCGAATTGAGGGTCCATTTGCTTAGATAGTGCTCCCACAAACATGGAAACAAGGAATAATTTCACCAGGATGCAAGGGTGGCTGTCGTTGTGACCCAGATAACTACCGCCCCGTTACTCTCCTCCCCGTATTATCGAAAGTTATGGAATCCATTTTTACAAACAATGTGATGAGTCGCTTGGAAAAATACTACATGTTATCCCCTGCTCAACATAGGTTTCGTCGCAGGCGATCGTGTACCACTAATATGCTTCTGGCCCGAGGAGGGTGGACACAAGTAGCTGACCATGGTAATGCACTGAACGTAGTGTACCTCGACTTCTGAAAAGCATTCGACTGAGTGAACCACAAAATACTGCTGAGGAAACTACATGATTATGTAATTCGGGGATTTGTACCGGGTTGGATCGAAGAATTTCTTCGACCACCATGGCAGTTTGGGTTTCTGGTTCACTTTCTGATCCTATCAGCGTAGCTCGGGTATTTACCCAAGGATCCGTGCTTGGCCCTCAACTTTTTCTGTTTTTCATAAACGATCTAACGGGCATTCTGGAGCCACAAAAGCTAATATTTGCAGACGATACGAAAATATGGAAAACAGTGAGAAAACCCGAGGACTCACTGGCACTTCAGAGAACACCTAATGCTGGTTATCAATGGTCGATCGAAAGCGACATCGAATTCAGTGCATCAAAATGTACGGTCGTATTCCTTCGCCACAAAACTCGGTTTCCGTACTTCCTAGGATATCAGCAACTTCCGTAAGTCTCGAAGGAGAATGATCTTGGTGTTATTGTTGAAGACGAACTAAGCTGTTGTTTCCACTGCTCCAGGGCATCGTCCACCCATGTAAGGTATGTTGGTTTGCTAAAGGGAGTATTTAGTAAATTTGAACCTGTGCTGTTCCCACGTTTGTTAACAGCCTAAATTCGACTCCACATAGAGTACGCAACTGAAGCATGAGATCCATGGCTACAAACTGATCGTAAGATTCTGGAACGTTCACGAAGAATGGCCCCTGAAATGGTCAAGGGACTGTATTCCAAGACTTATATGGAGAACTGGACTGATTAGGGCTGTACTCTACATAGTATCGCCGGATTCGAGGGGACTTGATTTCTAGTGTATCAACTAATGCAGACCCCTGATCACCCATGTTCACTGTTTACCTTTTCGTCCAACACAGTTCAGGGAGCACTCATTCAAAATAGTTCTCCAAAAATTTCTACTAGAATGCCGGCGTCATGCGTTCGCTCTCAGAATGTGCAGTATTTGGAATTCTCTACCATCCCACGTTATTTTTGCGTCCAAAATTGATTCTTTCAAGCACAAACGGGATGAAACTTTGACAAGTCCTAAATTTTGACATTCGTAGAAGTGCACGAAACAAGGATAATTTGCGACATTCCTCATCTTTCTATGAGCCGTAAATCGATTCATTTGTTCTAATCCTTATGGGACAAGAAATGCAAGCGCTTATAAGTATTTCCCATAATAATAATTGGACTTTGACCACTACTCCTTCGCTATTTTTTACCAACTAAAGCGCTGCTCCTAGTGGTACCATCAACTTGGAGGACCTGACCTCTACTGTGTGAATCTCATTGGTATTTTTACACATGCATTTTCTTGGGTATTGATAGACTTTGCCTTCCGCTAGCCTAAGCCTGACACACGGGACAAGGGGTCGGTGTGTGAAAAAACGCGATCCATCGGGGGCCATCTTTCAGTTATTGGTATCATACACCTTTTAACCGGGGTCAAACGTCCAAGGTGCTTAATGCACCCTGATACCCAATCAAGCCGGTGACGACTACCACCACTAGGCAGCTAGGGAAACATCCGTTACATGAAAGCGATGAGTAATGCACTCTCGAGATGTAACTGCCTTAGCACGAGTTCAATGTGTTTGACGAGATTCATCTAAGAACGTTTTTATAAAGGAGTGTAGGTTAGCCAGTAGTGTGACATTTGGAGGCAATTTTGATCACACAATAGAGCCATCATCCGCTACTTCTAAACTCTTTTTCAGACTAAGATTTGTGTGGTTCTCAAGTGCTACCATAGTTTATTGTTTGAATAAATGATCGGTTCCTATCGGATAGGGTTGAATTCATTCAATTTGAATTTTTCTCATCCTTTACGATTTCCTCATGGATATCCAACAAAGCAGCATTGTTGTACGGAATTCTAGTCTCATTGACCTCATTTTAGATGCGAATTACAATCCAATTACGCCCGTGGAGTCAATCGACTGAGTTCTCGACTACGAGAGGTTTTAGAATCAGCTCCTAAAAGGTAAGTCATACGAATTGTTCTTGCGAACGTGTATTCCAAGTAACCTGTTTCATCAGGATAGCAGTTGTGGCAGTCATAAACCAATCTAATGATATTGAAGGTGTTGATAGACTGTAAATAAAAAGCCGCCATCGCAATGTTTTCGTTCCAAATTTTTGTCTGAAATCTAAGTTCAATTAATATTATACTTTCATGGTGATAGTCCGTAACCAAGAGATTGGCCACGGATCACACAGTTGAATGCTGCCGATCGCTTTTACAGACCGCGGATCGGAGAACGTCCACATATGTGGCTAAGCGTAGGTTGCTAGAGGCCACCTCACCAAATAATCAGTCACGGACGATCAGAGGGGATACTAGAGGACTTGGTAAACGTTTC